GGCCTTTCCTTTCACATATTCCGGTTCTGAGATCTTCATCAGTACTGTCACCTGTCGTTGAAGCGATGGCTTTTGGAAAAATGAAGGAGGTGACTTCTTTCAAACGTATTCTGTTGGTAGCGGCTGATACAGTTTTTTTTCTGTTAGTTAGATTTTTTTTTTGATTTACAGCTTGATTCCACACTGTATTTTTGGTACAAGTATGGAATTTTCAGCATGGATATCGGTAGCCCAAATTTTGCAGGCCGACCATAGATATCAGGTGTGCGTCGGCGTGGGCTCGAACCCCGGACCATGTGCATGGTCGGCGAGAGTCCTAACCACTGTGCCACCGACGCACATTATCTTCATCACCTCTGTCTTCTCTATATATTCATCTGAATTCCAGTCGTTATTACCTCCTCTTCTTCTACCAACTTGTTGGCTTTCACTTGTAAGTCTTCAAGTTTGTGTGAAATCAGACATTAATCGTACATGAAACTCAGATCTTTTTTAGTTTTCTTATCAATAAGCCCTAATGTTGTTGTCTTCTCGCTCGCAACTTACAATCTGTCTGTCTGTCTGCCTGTTTTCGACATAGAAATTTGCACAAATGTGCGGCAAAGAGGTGTCTTTTCCTACTCCTGTCTTCACTTGAAAGAATTCACTTCTCTGATTTTCACTGCACTTTATAGTGTTGAAGCAGTTACCAAATTACTTCACAGTCAACGCTGTCAAAGTCATTTTAAAAGTTGATGAAGTTGACGTAGACATATGACTGGCATTCTATGCTTTGTTAATAATAATAATAATGTCTTCTTCGATGAGTTACTGCTTCATCTTCAACTTGCTGTAGCCTACCGGTCACGGATTCTCACAAGAACCCCAGTTCACTGCCTGAATAGGGTCAGTCACTAGTTGTCATCAGATAAATTTTCAAGTATTGGTTTTATAGGGATTCTGTGTTTGATTGTATGGAGGATTTCATCATGAGCTGACATCGGTTGGAGAACCACTGGAAAACCTGGGATTACTAGATAGCTGTTTCGTCCTAGTTTGGGACTCTTTAGCCCGCCTTGTAACCAGAGGACCTGGGTTCAAACCCTGTGCTGGGTACGTACTGATGAAGAGTCCCAAACTAAGACGAAACACCCGTCCAGTACTCCCTGGTTTTCCAGTGGTTCTCTAACTGATTTCAGCTCATGATGAAATCCTCCATACAATCAAACACGAAATCCCTACAAAACCAATACTTGAAAATAAATAAATAAATCAGGTCAAATCTTAAAGGTTACGTAATACTAAAGGTATGTGAAATGAACAGACAGATAATTGGCGTTTAAATAATAAATACTATAAAATTACAAGGGAAGTGGAACATAAGAAAGGGTGGGAGGGTTTCTTTGAATTAAAAATTCACCTACACAAGCACAGAAGAGACGAAGGTACAACAAACTTCTCTTGTTGTATGCAAAGGAACTAGGATTGTACTCTCGAACTAACTCCCATGGCTACTTGACCTATGTGTTTAACAGGTGGGTTCGAATTCCATTCGAAAGTCTCGATGGAATGCGATAGACAACCTAGAAGGCACTTCTTTGTCTACTGTTCACTTGGTGACCGATATCATCAATTAAATGAGTCAAAATAGAACTTCTTATAGATTTTACTTGACCTTTTCCGAACCCTGAAGGAACATGCCCATTAATACGTTCGTTGAGCTGTTTAGTTGTTTGCCCTATATAGCCAGCTTTCTCCACACAAGCAGCTATATTTGTAGATACACATAGAAGCGGAACAGCTGGGCTGCTTGTCTTTCTTTTGAACAATCGTAATTCGTCGGTAGCTGGAAAATGACAAACAAAGCATGGTAGTGGTCGAATAGGTGCGTTTTATGGCTGAAGATAAGCTTAGATGTAGGACTTCACTAGCCACCTGTTGATGCGTCTCCTTAGAAATCTACTAGGATAACCCATTTGGACTAGCGTATTTTGGATATCTATCCTAATTCATTTTCTAGGGATTCCTCTGTATAGTTCCTTCTTGGTCTATTCATAAGGCATCTGAACAAAGTTGATTTTGCAAAACTGAGCACCTATTGTCATTATAATAATAATAATAATTTGGATTATTCCAAAACAGTACTTGTGATATAGAATGGAATTCTCAGCATTTTACTACACTGTTGCATCCAGTTAGTACATTATTCAATAAATAAAATTCTACATAGATTAAGGGTAATCTCAGTTAGTTTTGATAACAACATATTGGCATGTCGGTAGCAAAGCCGAAAATTGAACAGTGTTTGAAGGTGTTAGAAAATTAGATACTACTAGCATATTTACTGGCGTAAGCTGTAACAAAACGATCGAGATATACAGAGTATGAGAGAACGAAGAAGAATGTTTTAAGTAGAGTTTGTAAGGAAGAGAGAAACAAAACGGCACATAACAGAAAAGAGAGGGAGAGAAAAGGAAAAGAAAGAAAGAAAACGTTGTACCTATAAATGGTATGAGTTGGAAAGACGAGATCCAATTGTTCTACTGACTATCTAATCATTTATAGGTATCACGCCTAATGCTTCCTTTACCTCAGAGAACACGAGCCAAGTAGGACGGGTATGGTTGAGTTTTGCATTTGCTAGTGCGAGCATACAGTTTTCTATATAGGCAGGCTTCTGATCCTGCCAGATGAGATACAAGGTGGAGGAGAGTTGTAAATGAAGAGAGTGGTATGAGTTAGATAAAATGGATTTAGCCCATTTTTCACATGACTCCATGTGCTTGTCAACCAGAATATTAACAAGCTGGTTAAGTGGCACGTTGCTTATTCTGCTGACAACCTTCAATATTCTGCGTAATAAGGTATTGTCTTTCTTCAGTAGCCCTGGAAAAACTAAGGAGGAACAATAGAGAATAATAGGCAGGATGCGAGAGTTAACGAATTGTAGGAGTAAGGGTTGGGTTGGGTTATACCAGAATATCTTAACTTCTTGATGTAGAAGCTAAGACGGAATATTTTCTTAGAAATCATCAAGGTATGAGACGATCAGGAAAGATCAGCAGATAGAATGATGCCAAGATATTTGCTTTCCGACTTGGTTTCTATTTCAGTGCCATCTATGTTGCACACCTCGTGAGTGCTAACCACCAGTTTGTTTAGGTCAGATTTGTGCCTAAAGATTAAATTGACTATTTGGCATTTGGAGGGGTTTAAGGTAGGATCATTTTCTTTGGACCATTGGCTGACTTCTGATAAAAAGCCATTTAGTTTAGAGCAGTCAGTCACTTTGACATTTGACAGGCAAAGATACAGTCAGGTCGTCAGCATATTTGACAAAATTAATGTCATTTGAAGATGGTAAGTCATGTAGAAACAAATAAAAGAGAATTGTTCGATGACGATGATACGTGGACTTGTCATTTGTTCAGGTTGTGATTTGGTTTTCCGGAGATATGGGATATATATATATATATGTAAGAGGATACGAAATAATGGAATTATACAAAAGAAGCTTGGAAGTTACATGACTGTCTTGAAATGATGATGTTCAATTTTATTGTGCTCGAGACATTATCATCAATAAATAACTATTACTGCATCACTGTGTGCTTTTGTCAAATAAACTTACTCCATGATGGACTTCGTCGATGTCATATATATGTCTGACGTCCCACAAACTGGAAGATATGCAAGTGAAAAGCAACAAGTTGGTACAAGAAGCATCCAAAGAAGATAGGACTTCCTTCAGTTGAACATAGAGAAAACAGATGTAGGTGATGAAGATTCCTGGCCAACAGCAGCAACACCAACACCACCAACAATAACAACAGACAACAGTCAACCAGCATGAATGGAAGACGTCTGAAAAAAGAAATCTCCTTCACCCAACCTGGGAAGCATCGTTCCAACTATAGGCGGACAAGGATATCGTCAAACCGAGGATCATCGGTAAGGCAAGACAAGCTTTCATTATTCGCAAGTCTGTGTGGAGATCAACAGCACTATTCAGCATAAAAAATTACATCCGGATTTTTACATCCAATGTGTGAAATCAGTGCTACTCACCATATGGATCAGTGACTTGGCGTCGCGCCGAGTCACGAAGGCCACTTCGAACAAATTATAGACCTTCATCAACAGCTGTTTTCACTCAAGATCAGATGGTCAGAAGCAATCAACAACAGGGAACTCTACAACAAATGTGCAGAAAGAAATGGAGGTAGATTGGCTAGCAATACTCTGAGAAAACAGACAATCAAGTGAGATAACACGATAGGCTATCACTCTAGTGGAACCCAAATGAGAAGTGGCAAGATGGCCATCAGTGCCAAGGTGACATGGAGGAGGCGGTGATTCAAAGAGGACATGAAAGTATATGTGCATACGTGCAGCCAGGTGAAAATGTTAGTAGAGAACCAAACTCATTGGAGACATGAGGCTGAAGCCCTATATTCCTCTAGGAATTAAAGGGAACAATATAATGATGGAACCATATTTACCCCCCCCCCTACATTTTTCAAATAAAATTTATACTTTTAAGGTATAAAATATAAAAAAAAGGCATAAAACAGATAAAATAAATAATAGTTATACCCATTTTAATATAATTTTTAGTGGAATCTTTTAGGACAGGTATTTCGTCCTATGTAGGACTCGTCAACTGAATATACCTGCATGCTTCACTGAGTGATAGTACTCCCAACGCTGCATAAGAAGTGATCTAATAAAGAACGCTTTGACATTTGGATTTCATTACCATCACTCGCCAGAGAATGCAGGCACCCCAAACTGATGAGTCCAAATATGCAACCAAAATATGCCTCCTGGTGGATTCCACCACAAGTCACCAACTATCAAATAATCACTTCAAATGAATCCTCAGAAATCGTTGAATCACTCATACAATCAGTCAACACATAACAATTTGAAGCCAATGGGAATAGGGTGTAATGGGGAATTAATTGAAATCAAACTTTGAAATATATAATACACACAAATTAAAAGGCACATTGTCTTACCAGTAAATTTAAATCATATTTTATCACTTCTTGAATTAATACATCAGCTAGGGTTTTCACATCTATACTAAATCGTAAATTTGCTTCACTTGAATCTTTCACTTGAATTAAACTTTGAAATAGATTAGTTTGTTTTTTTATTAGACGTGCAATAACTGCAGCTTTTTCACTGCATAGAATAAGACTTTTCAATAGTTGTACACACAATGGATCTGTAGGATTCATTTATAAGTAGTATTAGTAATAGTAGTAGTAGTTAACAAAACAAAAACAAAAATCGCACAGCAGTACAGGGGTAGTTGCTTTTTTTGTTGATTTCCTTTTTGATTCCTTCCAACGGTGTGTGTGTGCGTGTACGTGTTTGTCTGTTTTTGTTGTTGTTGTTTGTTTTATTGAATCATTCTATGCCTAAATGATGGTTGGCGTTGTTATCAGTCTAAAAAGTTAAAGTAGGAAGGGGGAAAAACATTTTTTTTACAAAAATGTATGACACGCTTTTCACGCATAAATATGAGAGATAAGCATCAGAACCAAGTGGAGGTTAAAGAGTATTAAAAAAAAAATCCCCATTTAGACATTTAGAAAAGAGAAAGATTGAGCGAGCGAAGGAATATTTACTTTTCAATTAGATCCTCATCTCACTCTGGCTCTACTCTAAGATATTATGTATAGCAATTGTTATTAAAATACACAACAATTCACCATTCAAGTGGCACTGATATGTATGTTAGCAATAATTAGTCAGTGTCAAAATGTCAATGGGGTGATAATTAACGAAGAAAATTAATACACACAATTAAAAGGTTGAAGTCGTTAGAATAAATTAATTTTACAAGGATAACACGTAATTAAAGATAAGGTGGTCAAAATAAATAAAAATAAATAATTTAGACAATTATATATATTCAAGTATTGGTTTTTGTAGGGATTTTGTTTGATTGTAGGGAGGATTTAATCATGAGCTGACATCAGTCAGAGAACCACTGGAAAACCTGGGAGTACTGGACAGCTGTTTCGTCCTAGTTTGGGACTCTTCAGCAGTACGCACCCACCACAGGGATTCGAACCCAGAACCTTCCGGTTACAAGGCGAGCTTGTATACCATTAAGCCACTGGGACCCGATCCAATGGTCCTTGAATTCTAACTTCTGCCAGTTCACGACATAGCGCGACCACTTCGCAATGTCTTCTTCGATGAGTTACTGCCTCATCTTCGACCTGCTGTACCCTACTGGTAGAAGTTAGAATTCAAGGACCATTGGATCGGGTCTCAGTGGCTTAATGGTACACGAGCTCGCTAGCCTTGTAACCAGAAGGTCCTGGGTTCGAATCCCGGTGGGTGCGTACTGATGAGGAGTCCCAAACTACGACGAAACAGCTGTCCAGTACTCCCAGGTTTTCCAGTGGTTCTCTAACTGATGTCAGCTCATGATTAAATCCTCCATGCAATTATATATATATATATATATATAGGTATATCGGTCGTCCGACTCGAGTTTAGTCCAAGAGGGTGCAAGAACACTATCCTGCATAGCTACGAAAAGGTGGAAGTGGAGCATTAAGAAGCGCGATCACTGAACATATGGTCGATAATGATCACCCTATCGCTATAGCCTCCGCCTTTAAAGTCATCTACAAGGCAAAGAGTAATCTACCCAAATCCCCACGTACCCGACTCATCTGTATTGCTGAAGCTATGGCTATCGAAACAGAAAAGCCAGATCTCTGTGTACAGAAAAAGTTCTTTCAACCCCTCCAACTTTCATGATCTTAATCCTTGTATGCTAAAGTATGGGAATCCCCAATCATATTTTAGCTCTACCAATTTTTCATTTTGTCTATTCAGTTTGTATACTCTTCTCTTATTAAGTCAATTGTTATTATTACTATTCTCACTTTGAACTGTCCCCGGTATTATTTCACTTGTTCCACTTGTCATTCTAAATCAATTGTTTTTTACAACGATAAATTCTATGCTATTAATTTTCACACAATATTACGTAACGTTTTTGTTTTATTCGATTTGTCTACTAATCCTATAATTGCACATCCTTTTTCAAGTTCTATCCCTCCTATGAATTATTCTATATATGACATTAATTTGCTTTGCCACTTGACATTTAACCATGAGTATAATCACAAGCATTTTAATTTTTTAATTGCATTTCATACTACTGTTATTATTATTTTATACATTCACACCTATGATTCAATTCCCTCACTGGATATAACTTCTTAAAAACCATATATATACGACTGTATGATAGAGAAGATTTGTAGCTCAGGTGGACGATTTTGATGTGATTTTGTTCTCTGAGCTGGATGGTTAATTTGTCAAGCTTTCACCACCCTACTGGGTGACATCTTCAGCGCATACTTCAATTTGAAGTGAGCTTTTAGATTTCTCCACGAGTTTATTAATCATTTCCCTGGTGACCTTGGACACGATTGGTTGAAAACACACATAAACAACCAGTCACGTCCAAGGTCACCAGGAGAGATGATTAATAAACTCGTGGAGAAATCTAAAAGCTCACTTCAAATTGAAGTATGCGCTAAAGATGTCACCCAGTAGGGTGATGAAAGCTTCTCAAATTAACCATCCAGCTCAGAGACCAAAACCACATCAAATATACGACTGTACAGCTTGATGATAAATTCGTTGAAAAGAGTCTCTTCACTGAATCACTTGTTTAGATTTTATATATATATATAACATCCTTGACAAGTTAAATGATGCACATTCAGCAATAAACTTCACCATAGAGAAAGAAAGTAATGACAGTATCTCATTCCTAGACGTCTTCATTGTAAGGAGAGAAGACGGCACACTAAGAAGAAGTGTGTATAGGAAGCCTACAACAACAGGTCAGTACACTCATTTTTTGAGTTTTGTACCTTTGAAATATAAATGTAACCTCGTAAAGTGTCTGGCTCATAGAGCTAGGTTAATCTGTTCAGATGACTGCCTCAATGAGGAGCTTAAGATTATTAGAGAATTACTCAGCGAAAACGGCTATCCAGATAAATTCATTGAGAAAAATACGAATTCAGCTCCAAGGAGAGTTAGTATGGCCACAGTTCCGAAAAAACCACTGTTCATAAAACTTCATTTCCTCGGTGACAACATCAGCGAAATAACAACACAGCACCTGAAGAATGTAGTTAAGAGAACTTATTATGCAGCAGAGGTACGTTGCCTCTTTACAACCACCCCTATTTTATTTTCGAGAAATAAGGATAAACTATCTAAATTCGCCTCCTCTATATGTATCTACCAGTTTGACTGCAGCTACGGAGCCAGCTACACTGGGTGTACAGTTAGGCAAGTTCATCGTCGTATTTCTGAACATCATCCAACGTGGTTAAGTAAGGGACAAAAAAGATTTATTCATAGCTCTAATTTAGCTCACCTCGTTGATACTGAGTATAGAGCGATGTTAATACAGCATTTAAAATTATTTATCGCATTCCAACTTATCTTAATTTTGCTTTGCGAGTTCGTCTTCTACAGACAGCTGAAGCAATTGGAATTCACCTGATGAAACCAAGCCTATGTGTACAGAAAAAATTTGTACAGCCACTTTCCCTACCGTGGCCATCGTCGCAAGAATGCATAAAGAGGACTACTTCGCACCCCTCCCCCTAAACCTGTAAAAATTATAATTGTTTAAATTATTTATTTTATTTTTATTTATTTTGACCACTTCACCTTTAATTTACGTGTTATCCTTGTAAAATTAATTTATTCTAACCATTTCTACCTTTTTCACTGTGTGTATTGATTTTCTTCGTTAATTATCACCCCATTGACATTTTGACACTGACTAATTATTGTTAACAAACATATCAATGCCATTTGATTGGTAAATTGTTGTATATTGTCATCAAAATGCTGTGGATGTATATTAGAGTAGAGCCAGAGATGAGGATCTAATTGAAAAGTAAATATTTCTTCGTTGCTCAATCTTTCTGTTTTATCAAAAAAGTGTTTTCTCCCAGTCTGTGCGTAGACTCTGATCACGCTCTGGTTTGCACACATTTATGCCAACATTAAACGGACATAAGAAATTGATGGCAGCGAAACAGTTACATCCCCAACTAGATCGAGACACTGAGTCGCTATTTAAGAAAGAAATAGCGAAACGAGTGTCCCTGACATTGACAGCAGGACTTCCCCTGAGATAGCCTGACACAACATACAACTAGCTGTAGACACAGCTGTAAAGGCTGTTAATAAGCTAAAACCAGAAGTTAGTAAAAGCCATCGCATCTCTACTGCCTCATCCGAACTGATTGACGCAAGAAGACTGATTCCGGCGAGCTCCGATTTCAATGAGGAGCGAAAGCTACTCAAACGAAAACTAACAAGAAGTCTTCGCAACGACCGTGAACAGTGGTGGGCAACAAAAGCGAAAGAAATGGAAAAGGCATCGGTGATTGGTAACACCAAACAACTATTTAGGCTTATTAGGGAAACAGGTGATAAAAGGCAAATGATAAGTGAAACAGTCTCGGAGAAAAATGGTACCATAATTAACTCCCAGGATAGACGACTGGAACGCTGGAAAGAACACTATGGGGAGCAACTTAACTGGCCTACAGCCAAGCTCAACCTACCGAATATCCAACATCTTCCTTAATGGGATATAGACACAGGTCCTCCGTCACTAAGTGAGGTTACTAAAGCTATCACCAATCTGAAACAAGGCAAAGCAGCGGGACCTGATGGAATGACTCCAGGGGTATTTAAGTACGGTGGAGACAGTTTACTGTCTGCATTAACTGAGGTTCTAAGCAGCGTCTGGGGATCAGAGGAAGTCCCGTCGGTTTGGTGTAAGCCACTGGTTATCCCCATATACAAGAATGGAGACAAGTCTTCCTGTGATAATCACAAAGGGATTAGCTTAACTAATATAGTATCTAAAGTCCTAGGCTCAATAATATTGCATAGATTAAGTGGTGCTCAGGAGGCACAAACACTTTCTGCTTTCTTCTCTTGCTCTGTGAGCAATATGCAGTGTGGCGACTTGAATTGCCGCACATCGGTGCGAAGTTCTATGTCAAAAACAGACAGACAGTCTGTGAATCTTCAGCGATGACTTGTCACTCAAGTATCTGTAGTCACCTGATCCGGATGGATGGTGTGTGGCAATTAATTATATCGTGAATCATGAATTGGCAGAAGTTAGAATTGAAGGACCATTGGATC